TATAAATGGTTCTAATATGTTTCGATAGGGAACATATAACACAGTCAAGTTTACCACCAACACAAACATTACTTTAAAGCAGAAAATAACATACATAAATATTTAAAATTTGTATGTCCAAAATGATCATGCCACAACTGAACAGTTTGTGACGAAAAATCATAACAACAAGTACTAGGTATAATACTAGCATACAAGCTAGGAACAGATAAAGACAAAATAGGTGCAGGTGATGACGGTGAAGGAACTAGTGAAACTAGAGGTGGATCGCCTAGATAATATAGTCCATATCTCTCATGTCCCCTGATAATAATCCTCCTGATACTTAGGTCCTGCAAATAACACGAATCAGATAAGAACACAACCGCACAATGAAAATCTCTGGCTAATTGATGTACAGATAATAGATTCATGGCCAGCTTTGGTGCATGAAACACCGAACGTAATGTAAAGTCATCTAGGAGGCGGACTGTACCCCTACTAACAATAGGGGCATGTGTCCCATCTGCTAGCTGAACTTGTGTATGTAACCGCTCGTCAAAAGTGGTAAAGTGATGGGCCTCACTTGTCATGTGACCATTCGCACCCGAATCTAGCATTCAAAAGAGAGACGGATTGACACAAGCATAAAAGGCACGAGGTATACCTGTAGTGGTGGCAGCCGCAGTAGTCAAATTTTAAGAAGTCAGAGTAGACATAAGTATATCCAATCAGGAAGTAATAGCATCCATATCACTCTGTCAAGGAAGAGCAGTAGTAGTAGCAGTAGGAGCAGCGACAGTAGGCAGTGGTATCTCAGCAATAGTAGCAGTACGACCCCGACGAGGTGGCTTAAGCTCCGGATGGAGCTTCCAACAAGCAACCCTAAGATGTCCTGGCCAGCCACAATTATCACACTAACGAGAATCCCCCTGTCTGCGCTGATCTGGAGCACCCTGACGGCACTGGTCCAAGCGTTGTCCACATGTGGATCCTGAACAAGACCTGACAGTAACTGCAAGGGCCATCTGGTTGGACGGAGGAGTCAAGGCCGCAATTGGAAGAGATGTAATACGGGCACGACGTTCATGCTGCTCAATCATCGCATACACCTCATAAAGAGACGGAAGCCTCATCATCAACAAGATCTGTGAACGAGGTCCCTCAAACTCATCACGAAGCCCTATAAGGAACTTGTGAATCCTATCCTCCTATTCTCGAGTATGCAAGAATGTTGCTCCCTCGGGCTCTATCCTCGGAATGGCAGCAAGAAAACGTAGAGTCTCATACTCAAGCCACCGTTGGGTCAAATAGCCATAATAATCCTCAACGGTCAAATCTCCCTGCCGAGCATATGAAAGCTCATAAACACGAACTCCCCGTCCTGACTAGGAATACGTCTCTGATAATGCGCTCTATAGCTTCGAAACAAAGCTATAAAACTGATGAATCCTGTAAACAGATGGCTTCATCGAGTTAAATAACCATCCAAGAATGGTGTAGTTCTCAGAAAATCACGCAGAATATTCAGGGTCGGCATTAGCTGGCTTTGGGTGAGATCCCGTCAGTCAACCAAGCTTCCCTATACGGCCTAGGAAAAGCTGAAATGAGCGAGACCACTCGGCGAAGTTACAACCATTCAACAACTGTGCCATAATTTTATGAGAGATCATGCCCGACAATGTTGGTAATGTAACTGTGCTAGTAAGTACTGTATACTAATCAAACATAAAAGTGAAAGTACCAATAGATGCATCAACTGTAGAGGTGTCAACAGTAAAGGACTCAAGTCCCTCAGCAGTAGTCATATCGACAATAATAATAAAGCACCCGTGACAGAAAAAACAACTCTAAAATAAATAGAGGGATAAAATAAGGGAGAACAATATACATTTGGTCGAACAGTAGTGATAAATACAAAAGGTCCAGAAAGCTCCCAAATAATTAAGTCATGGTGCCCAAAAATCCAATAAAGATAAATAAATTATTTACTGCTTCAAAAGCAAATCAACAGAGAAGAGGATTCAACCCCTCTTAAAAGATCCTACGGTCCCAAATAATTAGACGCATGAAAGAAAAAACTCGATGCTATGACGAATAGTGCGACCCAACAACGAACAGTGCGACTGGGTTTTGGTTTGGTATTTTGGGTTTGGTGGGCACTGCTCAGACTAGCAGAAGAAGCAGAAGGTTTTTTTTTTTTTTTATGGCTGTCGGTTTGGAGTGGATGTATGTCGGTGGAATGGGGGCTGGTGTACTGAGTATGGCTATCTGTGGGTATTATTTTGGTGAAGAGGCTGGACTGGTGTGGTTGGGTCGGTTTGGAGAAGATTGAGGTTTTTTTTTTGTGTGGCTGTGTTGCTGGGTTTTGGATTGGCAGGGGGCAGTCGGTGGTTGTTGGTGAAGGGGGAGTCGGCGGTGTGGCAGTCGGCTGGGTTTGGTGAAGGGGGCATGCTGGGTTTGGCAGTTAGTGGAGTGTAACTAATGTGGCAGTCTGGGTTTTGGATTAAGGGTAGGGCTCTGGCACCAACGTGGAATATCTGTGAGGGAAAAGGGATATAAATTAAGCGTAGAACTCCGGTATATATAGTCAATGAGAATTACAATCAGAGTTAAAAAAATAAAAAACGAAAAATTATAATAAATTCTAATAAACTCAGTTATAATATCTTCAACAGTATCTTATTAGAGGAAAACCTTGGGTTGCGTCAAGAAGGCCTTCTCAATCTGAAACACAAAGAAATCATAATCGATATGAACCCTCCACCTACACACATAGAGGAACTAGGTTCAAGTATTTTAATGGGGTGTAGTAATTCACTAAAACAGAGCAGTTTCAATACAGATTGACTAAAAAGGAAAGCTTGATGTTGTCTTACAAGAGAGACATCACACTAAAAACCCTAAAAAGAGTAAACAAACATTAGTGCATAACAAATAACGAGATTATGTTAGATATGAAAGTAGCCAAGAAGAGGAAAAAATTGAACCAGAGTTTGCAACCAAGAAGAGAAAAATTGAACCAAACCCTCATATTTTGGAAGGTTTTGGTTTCTTACATAATCTGATTCTCAATCCACCAGACTAAAAGAGAAAATTTAGATTTCCGTTAGGGATTCAGATAAGTAGTTGCATTCAGTTTGAATACACCCTAGTCTTTAGGGTATTTGTTTAGTGTTTCTGGACTTCTTCTAGTTGCACTTATCACGTTGATTAGTTGTAAACGTGAGTTAGTTTTTCTAATTCTATTAAGATTGTAGAAGGCTATTTACAAGCTTAGATTGTTCAATAAGAGGGAGGTCATTCCCAGAATTGTGGTGTACTCTTTCATTTTGTGTTTCAATTCTTAACATTTTGGTATCAGATCCTCCACTGGGCCTGACAAAATCAAAGCAACCGTCTATGAAGTTGGGTAAATATAGTCTAAAATGCTTCTTCAATAGTAGATCCATACTTATTTGAGTTTTTCTTTCTTTAAATTTGAATTTCTATGCCTATACCAAATCAAGTTTTTTACCTTTTTTTTTAACTCAAATTTGATTAACGGTTTGAATTTTCATTGGAGATGGTCTTACTATAACTCCTAATAATATGATGCTTCATCTAGTGTATGATGAGAATTCATTGCTTAAGAGAGGAAAATCGTGCAAAGTTTGAAATCTTCATAGAGTAATAAAAATTACAAAAAAAATATATATATGAAACTAAATGAGTAGGACAATAAGAGTAGAGTTCTCAACAATTACCTCCTCCAAAAGCCACTGTGAAAGGTGAGAATTTCCAGTCATTTCAATTTGGGAAAGGTACACCCTTCGAGATCCTCTTCGTTACCTTTTTCTCGATTTCTGATCATTTGTATGAAAACAAGTGACCCACTATTTATAAGCATCCATGCTCATATATCATTGGGCCAAATTGGAAAAAAAAACATAATAATGGAAGGAATTTGGATCCAGAGGCGGGTTGTACTATCTAGGGAGCCAAACATAGCTGAGAGCACCATGACAAATATATTTTTGGCGGGAATCAGAAATGCCCATCGTATATTCTCGGTGAATTTTGAATTTCTGGGTTAGGAACGGAATTCAGATATCAAAACTGATGCGCAGTTTTAGGTTTTGGGCTGCCCAAACCAGTTAGAATAAGGGTAAACTAACTTCCAAACAAGAATTCCAATCAGCCAGCAAAAAATAAAGGCCGTTGCCGGGGATTGAACCCGGGTCACCCGCATGACAGGCGGGAATATTCACCACTATACTACGACGACTTTAAGCAAGCTGAATAGTTAAGCCTGAGGTAAAAAAAAAAAAACAAGAAGCGTTTTTTGTTCAATCGATGAAACCAATCATACTTTCATAAAACAATAAGCGATTTTTGGTCAATTGACGAAATCAATCATACTTTCACTGCGGTGGACTAGCTTTCATAAAACACCTTTGGGAAGCAACAACTACTATTGGGATCCAATTCGGAGATCAATTCGACAATGATCATATAAGAACCCTTTGAAGACATGTCCACCGATCTTCACAACCGCCTAATAAGCATTTTCATAAAAAAGTATCATTCAACAAGAAATTTCTTGTTCAGAATCCACATGCACTAACAGAGATCAAACAAGCTAGTCTCTCTTCATATTCAAATCCAAAGGAGCACCTGTTAACAGTCTTTAATAAACAATAAGTAAATAAGAATTTACTTATTGTAATAACTTGCTACAAAAACCACCTCCAACACTACAAGGTGTACGGCATGAGAATTGTAGTGCTGTAATAAGTAAAATATAATTGGTAAATGAATCTAACACATGGAAGTTTTTAGAAGTTGAACAAACATGTTGTATGAATACCTGAAATGGAAATCTAATCAAATTCAACCCATTTATGAAAAATTAGAACATGAATGAACTTCAATCAGATATTAGTCCTTTCTTCAGAATATAATTAGATTTCTAATGAACTTCAATCAGATATTAGTCCTTTCTTCAGAATATAATTAGATTTCTAACCTTCAACGGTCTCTCATGGAGTTTTGAAGCCTAAATCAATGTTCTTCCAGTACCGATTCCCTCCCTTTCCAGGCCTCTTTCCCTTTCCTGATTTCTTCGAGCTGCACACCAAAATGTCCCACCACATTCATCACGCAAACATAGATATTCACTTATTTTTCATTTGTATATAGAGTTGGTTTGTATATTTTACTAGAGGAAAACATTGGATTGCAGCAAGAAGGCATAAGCGATATGAACCCACACACACACAGAGAAAGAGGAGCTGGGTTCAAGTATTTTAATAAGGTGTTGTAATTCACTAAAGCAGAGCAGTTTCAATACAGATTGACTAAAAAGGAAAGCTTGATGTAGTCTTACAATAGAGACATCACACTAAAAACCCTAAAAATAGTAAACAAACTTTAGTGCATAATAGATAACTAATTATGTTAGATACGAAAGTAGCCAAGAATATGAAAAAATTGAACCAGAATATGTAACCAAGAAGAGATAAAATTGAACCAAACCCGCATATTTTGGAATGTTTTGGTTTCTTACATAATCCAAATCTCAGTCCACAGGATACTGTATTGATGGAAATCTTCTGAAGGATCAAACCAGAGGCCATATCTCTCTCCTCTGCCAACGTTTGTGCTTCCATTTCCATAAACATTGGTCTGAATCTTTGCCTCTGATGTTCCCAAGAACTCAGAGTCTAACTCATCATGGTTTTTGTCAAATATGTCTCCATTTGACATCTATCCGAGGGGTTTTGGTCAGATATTTAGAACATAAATCCTTAATATGAAATGAAAATCAAGAAATGTAAGGGGTAAAACCATCTAGGTTTGATTGATTAGATTAGGGGATAGAATCAATATACTCGCATAAAATGCAACAACACCACCAGCTGTGTAATCTACAGGTAGCTTAATGGAAGCACTAAAGAATCCATGAAGGTAAAGGTCTTGAGAAACAAATCCCAGAACCTGTATATATATGATAAAAAATCTCATCAAAACCAACCAATAAAGAAAGAACTAGGATAAAATAATCAAGGAAAGCAAGTCACATAGGAAGAGGCTTCTAAGAGATTTACCTCTCCAATGGCTTCATCTCTCCTCTAAGAATTTACCTCATGATCCGTAATGTCCAGTGCGCTCGGATCTGTCAAACATTGACATATACTTCGCTGCATTTCAAGCAAAAAGATTTCTGTTCAAGCAATTTTGCAGCTGTAAATCACAATAACGACAGTCTTTGGAAGGAAACAAGTGGATTCTAGGAGCATTAAGCCAACAACAACTACAAACAAACAGAAAGAAAAAAAAACAGAGATTTCAAAAAAATTGAACCCAGTTCAACCTCTGCTTGTCGGTGGTGCTACAGCTAGAGTTGCATCAACCTATATCTTCACAATCAAACCACCAAAATTTATGTAGCTACCTCAAGTGTAGCTAAACCAATACAAATTCCATCGAAGCGGAAGATTTATGTTTGAATCTTTCTGCATAAATTCCATACAAATTCTCTAGAAAAAGCATGTTCATTATCATGAGAGAGAGAGAGAGAGAGAGAGAGAGTTGGTGATATGTTTGAATCTTTCTGCTCGGTAAAAATTCAGGAAACCTTGATGTCCCTGTGCATGATTCCATTATTGTGAAGGTATTCCAAGCCCAATAACATCTGCTTGCTTTACATCCTTATAACCTAATTAACAACCACATTGATGGGGGAGTTTCAGATTTCAAACACCCACAGTATATGTTTTGAGAAGCTGTATTCAAAGTTCTAACAGTACTTGTCATAAACACATTCTCATAATCTTTTTAGTAAAGAAGTTTGAGAAACAAAAGCAAGTATATGCCTGGAACAAATTCCAATAATGTATTCAATGATCCCTCTGAGAAACAAAAGCAAGCTAGTCAGAACAAATGTATACCGTCACTCACCAAATTTGCACGATTAACAGAATATAGCACTGACAACTATGTTCGGATGGGAGAGATTCTTCAATAGTTTCTGTGGTTGAAGTCTCCCCATAAGAGTCAAGTTTCATTGATTTTTATAACAGCAGAAATGCTACATCTCTTTTGTGATGAATCTCAGGAATAACCTTAATATTAAGATTTCTACAAGTAGCAGACCATTGCTGCTAAATGCAGAAGAAAATCTATAGCTAGCTTATATTTAACATCAAACTATTGGTGAATTTGCATAGTAAATCTGATTTATAAGATTTAACTAAATCAGTGCCTTTACTTGTGTGTTTTACTTCGAAGCACTATTCCCCGCAATTGAGACCTACACAATTAAACACCAAAATATCAAATCAAATGAGGAAATAAAAACAGAATTGAAAATTATAATAGCAGAAATAATTCCAAAAAATCTACAAGAATCAGATTTTTGTGGTGTTTACACAATCATTGATGACACAAATTACTTACCTCCATTCTTTCGTTTGGTCGACGATGGAGAAAGAGAGCAGAAGGTATATATATATATATATATATATATATATATATATATATATATATATATATATATATCATCATCATCATCATCATAAACTAATATATGAATTAGCCAAACTAGTTTTTATTTAACCTAAACAAGACTTGAATAAAAAATAGGACTACATATACAATTTTTAAAAAAATTAGAGACGACAAATATAATAAATTGAACAGAATTATGATACATAAATATGGCATAAATGAATAAGAATCAAAACTGAGGGGCGGGAGGAACTGAATAGCATTACTCTTTGAATAAATAGATTGGAGTGAGGTACCTACCATGGTTCAAAGTCGCGATATCGGCCGTCGACTCGAAGGGTACTGATACACATCGGTTGCTACGTTGTGGCATGGTGTCAGTCGATACGCTCAAAATACAAGATAAAGCTCCAAAAAAATTTAAAAAAATTATTAAAAATTCAAAAAATATAGCCATCATCATTCATGCATCATATGTCCACAATACATCCAAAGATACATTAAACATAATTAAAATGAAACATAAAATCGCTACCGAAAATTATTAATGTAATTGTAACATTTGCATCTCTGGAGGAATCGAACCCAATTGCATGTTTGGAGTAATTTAAATGTAATTGTAACTAAAATAATGTAAAACAGCTTGTTGTTTAAATGTAATTCTAGCTAAAATAATGTAAAACAGCCTATAAGAGTCAAACCAGTGACCTACAACATGAATTTGCATCTAACCCAACTGACCTACTAGTTTTACATTACACTGAAGACAAGTATAAATATTTAAACAACACTCAAACTCAGTCAAAAAAAAAAGCAGACAACTATTAAAAAGTTTTTTTTTTCCATACTTACCTCTTCCAGACGAAGACTTCTCATCTTCTCAGTCACGACGAGAGAGAGGTGCAGACAGAGTAACAGAGACGACCACGGTCCCTCACCGACAGATGACCACAGTCCCCCACCGTCCGAGAGAAAACCAACATTGAGATCCACTTGGTTCGATCGTCACACAAAAACAACCGAAGAATATCGTCTCACAAAAACAGAAGAAGAAGATGAAGACCCTATTTCGTTCGATCTCCAAGTATGTTGAATCCTTAGTATTCTTGGTTTTTATAGATGAAAAAAAAGGGTTTAGATGAAGACCCTACTTTGTTCGATCTCCATTTTTTTTTTTTTTTGGATTTTTGTTCAATTTTTTCGAAATGAATGAGTGTCTTGGATTTTTGTTTTGTATGTTAGATTTGGGGGGATTTTTTTCACTGACTCTTTCGACTCGGACAGATTTTGATACGAATCGTTTGAGTTGAACCGAGGTGTGGCCGAGTCCTTTGATTTCAATCGAGACGACCGATATATCGCCGATGTTAGTTCATTTTGAGATTTCTACAACTCGCGTACCGTTATCGTATCGACAGTGGCCAAGTCGGATACGACTCGGCCTATACCTAGAACCATGGCTGTAATGTGGGGTTACGATTGTGGAAAGAGAGTGAGAGAAAAGATGCGTCACTACTGGGGATTGGGCAGCGGCACAATGGGGAAAAAGGTAGAGAGAAAATAGAGTTACGGGGAGATGACATAAGAGCATAAGGAGAGAGAGATGGACGAAGAAGAGATGCAGAGAGAGAGGAGATGATTGAGAAGAATACGTGAAATATGCAGTGGCTAGGCAGCTACTGGCTGTCGTTGGCAGTGGATATGCAGGGTCCCAGAGAGAAGAACAATGGGCAATTGTCGCTGGCGGTGAACTAGTGGCTCAATAGGAAGGAAAGTAGAGAGAAAATAGAGGTAGGGGAGATAAACATGAGCGCATAGAGAGAGAAATGGACGAAGAGGAGATGCATGAGAGAGAGAAAGGAAAAATTGAGAAGGATATCCAAAATAGGCAGCGGTTAGGCAGCTAGTGCCTGCTAGATGTCGTTGGCATAGATGTGCAACAACACTGAGAGGTGGGAGATAAGACGCAGTTGTCACTTGCTGTGAACTGAGAGAAAAGATGCATGAGAGGGAGACAGAGAGGAGATGATTGCGAAGGATACTTGAAATAGACAATGGTTAGGCAGCTGCTGGCTGTCGTTGGCAATGAATGTGCTATGACATAGAGAGAAGGGGTAAAGATCAGTTGTCACTGGCGGTTAACTGAGACAAGAGATGCGTTATTGCTAGGGAATGGGCAACAATACAATAGGGAAGAAAGTAGAGAAAAAATAGAGTTAGAGGGAAATGATTATAAGCGCATAGAGAAAAAGATGGACGAAAAGGAGATGCGTGAGAAAGAAAGGAGATGATCGAGAAGGATACCTGAAAAAGGCAGTGGCTGGTAGCTGCAGGTTATCGTTGGCAATGGATATGCAACGATGCAGAAAGAGAAGAATAAGGGGCGGTTGTCGTTGGTGGTGAACCGAGAAAAGAGATGTGTCACTACGGGGGATTTGGCACTGGTGTAAGAAGGAAGAACGCAGAGAGAAAATAGAGGTAAGGGAGATGAACATGAGTGCCTAGAGAGAGATGGACGAAGAAGAGATGCATGAGAGAGAAAAAGAGGAGATGATTGAGAAGGATATCTGTAACACCCCGTTTCATTTTGGCAAGGAACTAGGTAGGGAATGTTATCTTGGAAGAAATAAGAAAAAATTAGAATAATCAAGAAAAATCTAGAATGTTGGAGAAGTTTCTAGAAAGTTCTAGATAATTCTAGAAAGTTCAAAAATAACCCAGAATAGTCTAGAACAATCTAGAAGAATCTTGAAGGTTAAAGAAGTTTCTAAAAAGATCTAAAAGATTCTAGAACATCAAGGAATCTAGAGCACTCTGGAAGAGTACAAAAGGTTTTAGAAGATTTTAGAGAGATAAAGAGTACTCCACAATGTCCTAGACTAGTATGAAGACTTCTAGAGATGTGGAGGATTAACCATTGTATAAATATCTACAATTGGAACCTAGAAAGTTCCAAGTAAGGAAGTGAAGGGAGAATCTAAAAAAGTTTCCCACACCAAGGAAATAATGACACATGTTCACATTCTAGAATATTCCTAAGAGTCTTAAAAGCCAATAAATAGGGGACTTGGTTATTGAATTAGGAGGAAAACACATTAGTGACCTCCTACTAGAGAGAGAGAGAGAGAAAAAGGAAGGTTGGATACTCCATATAAGAAGAAACGAAATCGTGGAAGAATAATGTAAGGGATCGACAACTTCTTAATCAACATCGGGTGACAAAGCATTTCCTTTGGACTTGAGGTGAGTGGTTTGAC